ATCTTAAGTCATACCCATCCATCTTCTTCAGCAGATAAAAAAAGACTACCATCCTTCTAATATCTCATTTTTCCATTTGAAAGGCTTTGTCAAAAATCATTTGAAGTATTAACAAGGCCAGCCTACTGATTTACTGGAATCTTCAAGCACTTTCTGGGGCCACTTTTTTCCTTCACTCTTCCCCCAATCTCTAGTTTTCCAGTCTTGTAAAAAAAAAAAAAATCAAGAATGTAACACACTTCCCTGAATGAAGAACTAAGTGAAATAGTCCATTTTTACCAGCCTCGGACACTGATAAGCAAGTGATTTTGTTTATCATCAAGAGCCTTGCTTGGCCAGATGGAGTATACCTCTTCTGCTTGGTTTTCAAAACCCACACAGACAGAAATATTTTTCCCTGAGGTGGAGAAGTCTAGCAGTCTATAGGAGGACAGTTGTCTCTCTGAGATGCGCAGAACAGGCAACAACAAACTCATTGCAAGTTGGTGACCAGCCTAGCAGAGGCTCCCTCCCTCCCAAAACCCTTTGTTCTGTTCCTACCTTAAACTCACCATAGTTGTAAGGTCTAAATTGAGTTCACCTCAGTCCCATCTTAGAGCACTACAGTTCATTTTCTGCCATCATACTTATTTACTGAGGCTGCACATCATGCTTCCCTTGCTTAAAGCAGTCAGAGCAACCCAGGCTAATACTAACATCCGGATTTAGCTTTTTATAGCCTGGAACTATCTTTCTGTGGATAACCAGGTTGTTCCAAATTCAGCCCCTTACACTTTTTCGTTGGACTGCTCAGTAAACAGACATGCTTCCCCTCCTTTGAAAGAAAAATGATTTTTCATACGCAGGTTCTTGACTGAATTCTTACTGTATCTTCATCTTCACATGTATAATACAAACTGGTGGGGCTCACGTTCCATACGCTGCATTTGACTTGCTCTGTGTCGCTAGTTAGGGCCTGATCTAAAATCCACTAAAAAAAATGACATGGCATTAAATCAGATTTGTAGGATGTGTTCCTTTAATATGAAGTCTATTGCATATAGTGATTATATTCATTCTATGAAAAACTCCATGTACTTGTTCACAAAGTGCTTCTTTACGTACAATAAGGCTCAGTATCCCAATCTAATGTTAATTGTTTGTATTGCTGGCACTGGATGTCAGCATGATGTCAATGAGGGAACACATTATTATAATTGAGCTTTTTAGTGCAAATATTACTTATCAACAGAAGACAAAAAAGTAAGCGATCCCATTCAAGATGCTATAATATAATTAGTACAGGGTCATAGATAGGAACTTTAGTGCAGAAATCACTTCTCACTTGATGGTGGAGGAAAACATTAACGTTTTTCTGTCTTGCTGCAATAGTAAAGAATTGAAGTTTATTCCTCATACAGCAGAAAAGATATCTTCATAAACAACTAGCTATCACCAAGCCCAGGGGTACAGAATTAAGACCTGTATTCTTTGGTAATACAAACCATCAACTTAGTAGCTGGCTACATGATGCAAAATGAAATTCACAGGCTTGGCTCTCTCTGTCTCCTGCTATGGTGGAAAAATGGCAGTGGCAACCCACAGTCCTCTCTCAGGGGGAACAAACAATAATAAAAATACATGCAGAGCTTTCTTCAGCCTGCGTAATACATAGTACCTGACATTAAATCTACCTTTGCAGCCTTCCCAAAAGCAATGGAATACCTCTCCCTGAACCATGCAGTGTATATACATAAGTGGGATTTTCTAGTAGGCCGTAATACGTATTTTTAAAGTCCATGATTCAGTGGTGAGTCAGATTTCAGTTATTTAAAACTAGGTACAACTCTTTTGACTTGTGTGGAGAAGGTTTTCTCCATATTTGAGAGATCACTTTTTAATGGCTGCACACAGTAACCTGGGTATGTATGTGCAGCCAAGAGACCACACTTAAGTCATTTTTTATAAATGCCTTGCCTAAACAGTGTTTATCAAGCACTACATTTTTCTATGAGGTTTATAAAATATCTTACTATAGTTCTAAATCTGGTTGAGTTGGCCTGCAGTTTGCAAACTGATATTAGAGCCCAACATCAGCTTGACAATTATCTTTAGTAAAAGCAAAGTGCCCTTTTTAATACTCCCATTTCTGAAAAAGAAAGAATATTTTACTTACATGCCATAATTGTGCAGAGCTCCTGGAGGCAGCAGGGTCTGCAGGTTTTGCATGTACAACCCCCCCGACACACACCCCCGCATTGGGATTATTGGTAGTTTTGTCAAAACAGGGCTCCCCAGAGTAGGTCCTAAACAAAGGAACGGTGATAATGTCTCACAGTTGGAAATGTCCACTTTTTCATGCTGGATACAACTATGGGAGTAAGGCTGATAATCAGATAGAAAAAAAGGAAGATTTTGGATGTCTGACAGTTATCCAACACATATAATTACATGTTTGTATCAAAAAGCACAAATAAAAGTTTGAAACCTCATCCAAAGCCTACTGAAGCCCGTAGGAGTCTACCCCCTTGTGTAAAATAATTTGGATCAGGGTCTTAAATTTCCAAAGGCATACACCAGTGCATTTCCTATAGGAGTCCTGGCTGTAAAAAACACTACTAAATAATAGTTGTCTTCTCCCCTCCAGATAAGGGCAACAGAAAATAAGGTATCAGCCCAATAGAAAGAAGTGCAAAGAATTTTTAAAAGTAAAGATCCACTCTCTGCAAGTACTCCACCCCAGGGACACTGATACCTAGTCTGGTGTTAAGAGTAGATCTGAGCTGAGTCCTCTTGCTGGGTCTGCAGTGATAGAGGCAGCCGCTTTTCCTGGAATTCTTCCCATTGAGCCAGGGGCCAGGAGATGGTGGGAGCCTGAATAGAGACTTTTTCATTTGAATCAGTTAATGACTAACATATATGCTGCATCTGTGTGGAGGCCGTGGTGACTGCAGTCTTCACACAGACTACAGACCCCACTGAGATTAATGGAAATCCTTTCATAACCAGGCTTTCAGAACTAGCCTCTAACAGCAGAGACATTTTCTGTGGTTACTCATATCAGTGGCTGGAGCAAGTAAACTCACCTGTTTCACAGATGAAAGGCCAGGCCAGACTGATCACTATTAAATCTATGTCCAAGGAAAGCACAGAGTAGAATTTGCTACTAAGGGTTCAGTCTCTTTGAACCAGTTAAAAAACACCTTTGTCAGTCAGACACCAAACATCTTTGAATACTCAAAGGCCCCAAGTCATATTTTTACAAGAGCACAGAAGTGCTACCCTTCAGCCAAACTGCACTTTGAGTAGGTAAGTTTTTCAGTCTGCATTTCTCTCTCTAGTTTTATCAGAATATTTTGAGTGGGATTCATCTATAGATTAAAATATCTGAATTTAGGTGTGGTAGGTGTCTATACTCCTGCTATACTCAATGCAGTCTGCAGAGGGACTTCGCTTACCGACCTCTAGGCCTCTACTTTAGGGAAACTTGAGTCACTCCCAAGGTGCTACCAATTGACCGTATTGACTGTTCCTCCACTGACCATACTGGGAGTTTAGACATCTAGCTAACATGTAGATACATACATGTATGTTTCTTAATGTGGAACTACATATTACCATACATGTCTGAGCAAATGCTCTTAAGTGCACTACTAATGGGGACTGATGCAGTGGCAACAAAATTCCTCGACCAAGTATGTATCAGTTAGCACAGCATCGTCATTCGTGACTTGATTAAGAACCAAAGAACAGTACTGATCCATATTATTCTTGCCCTTTGTGAATTCAGGAATAAGGCTGACTGCGTTCATAAAAACCCTCATATCTGTGAAGAGATATTCTTCACATATCTTCATAAATCTAGGAAGAGAACTGA